AGTATACTTCATTAATAATTAAAAAAAATACTCTTTCTGTTAAAAAATATAAGACATTTTTAGCTAAATTTTACTTTAATAAAGTACCTTACTTATCTTCAATCTAACCATATTTTTTTATATTTACTCCTATTTAATAAGTGTTTTACTCTAAAATAGATATAAAAGGAATGTCTTTTTGTCTTAAAATCAGACTAATTGCATATACAAGCGTCGAAGATTAAAAATTAAAAATCTTTACAAGGCATAATCTTACGTTAAGCATTTTTATTTTCTAATGTTGTTAAACAAAAATAATTTAAACCATTGACATTTTTTATAACCATATAAAATAAAATTGACAACGAAAAAATTTATAGGTGGAACAAAAATATAAAAAGATGACCCAGAATCAAGAGGACTGCAGAATTTTCCTTTAAATATTGATGTAATAGCTGACGACAAGTTGGTGTTGAAGGTTGCTGCTAATTAGAAGCATGATGAATGAGTGGAGCGAGTGAATACAAGCGCTTCACTGTCAAATATGACGGCAAGTTAAAGTAAATCACACCCTACACTTCCGCGACAATTATTTTATTAATTCATCCATGATTTATTATCCAAAATAATATTATTTCTGTCTTAAATTATAAAATATTTTTAAATAAAATAACATATACTAATATAACTCATTTAATATATTTTATAATTTTATTCTTTAATAAAAATATAAATTTTTAAAAATATTATTAATTTAATATTTTATTTATAAAAAATATTAAAATAAGAACACATATACGAAAGATAATATTAAAAAATAAAATTAATAAAAATTTATTTTTATTCAAATATTTTACATTTTAAAATGCTTGATTTTTTTTTAAATGTATTTTAAAAGTTGGGATAGGGATGGTTTTATGGGGATATACTATTTTTTCCCTGAAAAAAATAAAAATTGTCCCTCTTAATGCTATATGTATCTTAATATCTTATCGAAGATCGTTATGCGATGTGATGTGACATATTTAAGGATTTTTCCCCCTGTGTATACCTGATAAAAAGTCAACTGCACCACTGTTTCTAGAATCAATTAATAATCTAATACCATATAATAAAATTAACACAATCTGTTCTGTGTACCACAGAAACGTGGAAATCGATTCAAGGCGAGAGACGCTTAAGGGTGTGATTTGGATATGAATTGAAAAAATTGGTTATTAAAACATGATAATATTTGAATAAATTTTTAAAAATTAATTTTAATAAATTAAATATGTTTGAATGATTTGTTAAAAATGAATTTTGAATATGTAAATAAATGATACAAAGAAAAGGAGTTAAATGAAATTTTGTAAATGAAAATTTTTTTAACTTTTTTAAATTAAAGTTTCTCAAGTTAAATGAAGTTTTATAAAATAAAAATATTTGAATAAATATTTGCAAAATCATAATTTTAGTCTTAAAATTAATTTCTAATGAATATCCAAACGAACCCTAAGTCTGTCTCGTCACCGAATACAAATTATTCCTGCCAGATTGTTTGTAATTGATTGTATAAAAAAGAATTATAAAAAGTTCTGAATAAGAATGTACAATTACGAGTCAAATTTTCCTATTTACGATGAGTAGCTAGGAACAATGAGTAATTAATTTTCTATTTAAAACCTAATATGTAATGATCTCTTATATATAACATATTTGAGCTATAATGTATAAAGGGGGAAAATGGGGTGTAACGAAGCTTTACGCTGTCTCTTTTCGCACAATTGTACGAATGTTGTAGATGATTTAAGTAAACTACTATTGTTGGATAATGATTTTCTTATACGTAATGATTATAGTCATGTATGGGAGAAATCCAGTCTGGCAGGCGCATCTTACGCGATAGAAAGCGACAAATTTTAGTTATATATAAGATACTTTTCTAGGCAGTGTAGAATATTGAATTAATAACATCTAAACACAATAGTATTTTCCTTCACATCTTTTTTTTTTTTTTTTGCCAAAGTTTCCTTCATATCTTGGTTATGTGGTTCAATTCATCAAGACATTAACATGAATCTGTGAATGCATAAATTCACGAGATATTTTAAAAATTAGTGAATGAGAGATTAATTAAGGATAGGAGAAAAGAAGTAAAATAAGGGAAAATAAATGTTATATGCTTTTCTACCCATTGCATGTATTATACTTCTCTTGACTTAAAAAGAAAAAATCTGATATCACAAAATTCAAACCATATATTGGCATATATAAAACAAACTAAAAAAAATGAATTATTGATGCGAACAAAATTTTAAACATTCCACAACTGTGCAGATCAAACTTAATATAATAAATTAAGGTCGTCTCGCAATGAATTAATTAAAAGGGTTAGTACAAATGAAAGTTATTTTTGTCTCAATTAAGTTAACCAATGAATTAGTTAAAATTTTATTGAATTTAAAGTAAATATGGATGAAATAGAAAAAAATATATCTGAAGTTAGATTAGTAATTAAATAATACCCTAAGAATTATAATATCCTTTTATACTTTATTATTCAATTTCTTTTAGTTACTGCTTTTTAATTTAACTTTAAAGTCAAGCATCTAGATTATATTATACATCCATGGATTATAAAATCTATAATCTAACTGTATTATGATGTTTCAAGCAAATCTTGATCTAATTATACATGAGCTTTAAAAAATTAATTAAAGCTCTTGAGTATATGTAATTTTAATCCTAAGTTGCCCAATAAACAATCTATTTGAGACTGCCTTCTGTCAAAACGAATTTTAAAATCCAAATGCATATTAAAATTGGCCATCAAATAGTATGAGTACAAAATAAATTATATTAAGCATTAAAGTATCAATCAAAATTAATAAGTAAAAAGAAATATACTATAAAGCATTAAAAATTCATAAAATTCTTAAGAATAAAACAAAATAAGCCATACACGGCTTCAAACATGCATAAAAGTTTACAAACAGGGCAAACAATCAAAGGCATAGAGTAAAAAAAGAAAGAAGAGAATCTGGAAATCTTTTTAAAAAGCTCCATGAGGAATCTTCAATCTCCAAGCTAGCTTTCAAGACCTAATTGATGCTCCAAAATTACCTTATAGCCTTTAGATATAAACTTGTGTTCTCTTTTAGAATTCTACAGGGGCTTTATTTATAACTTTTTCACATCCATATGGCCTCTAATTTTCGTCTTATATATCTTACATGATTTTAACTTTTTAATATATTATTTAAGTTCACGTTTGGATTTTAAAAAACCTGTTGTCATGTGGTTTTTTCACATCCACGTGCAGTCGAACTCTTCTTCTTATCCATGTCCACGCTCGGTTGAATGAAGAGGGAGCCATTTTCGTGAGCCTCTGTGCGTGGTCGAGTGTTGAGCCTCCATATGTCCGCTTGAGGTGAAATTTTCTTCATGCTGTCTCCACGCATGGTCGAGCTTCTAGAGAGTGGCTTTCCTTTTGCTGGCTACGTCGGTGCACAGAGAGTCTCTCTTCTTTACTAGTTCGCGTGCAGACAACTCTTTTTGGGCCTATTCCTTTGGCTTTGATTTGGTACTTCATATTTTTGCCCTTTTGTATGCTTTTTCACTCCTTTTTTCTGGAAGTGTCTAAAAACTACTAAGTGATGCATTATATCTAATTTTTTATCAATTTACACGTTAATGAGCAAATAAAAGAGCAATATATATATATATATATATATTTTTAATTTAAGTAAAATACCAACTAATCATTTATCATCCTTGTTATAGTGAAATATTGCTAATATTTCCAATTAAAATTAAGTGGGATCAATAGGATTGTTCCTCGATCATAGGTATATTTTTTTAAAAACATCTCAGTTAAAATATTAGATTAAAATTATTAAAATTTGAAGGCAATTATCCAAAAACTGGACGGAAAATAAACAGGGAAAAAAGAAAGAAAGAAAAGGCAGAAGACATAGTGGATTTCAATATATTTGGTGCATGCCCATTGATTGCGGAGATGCTTTTACGGTAAAAGACTGAAGTTTCTCTTTTTTGATAAAAATTTCTCGGCCACGACTTTCACGTACACACTCATTAATAAACAAAGACTTGCAAAGAGAACCAACAAAATAGGGTATAGACGTTGATATCCTGGCCAATTATTGTAGCCCTAGACCCTCCTCCCAGTCCCTCGTTTTGAGACACCATTACGAGTTGACGGCAGAGGAATATATAGCACCATGTTTTTTTTTTATCAAGTGTTATTTTTATTTGTTCTACCTGTACTATTATTGATAGTTAGGCAGCTGGGGAATCATTTGAACTGATCGAAGACAACAAAATAGACTAAGAAATAAGATATATGATGGTGATCAAATAATTGGCAATGTTTACTCTTTCATTCAGAATTACTGCCACCTTTGTTCGTTCGTGAATATTTTGTCCCGTGTACGCAGTGAAAAACAAGTTAATGGTATGATAAATTGTTAAATTTCCATGCGAACAATTTTTTCATCATCCCTGATCATATAATTTTGAATATCTAATTCAGTAGTACAATTTTCTGGTCTGGAATTCAGAATAAAAATTGAATTAAATGATTCTTTCTTCATGCAAACCAGCTCTTCTAATTAAGTTGATCCTTATTATCACTAATAAATTAATCTGATTTTCATTCCTGCATGAAATCATGTTATTGTTTGAATATAACGGGGTCGTGGAAGCGTAAAGTTTTAGGTATATGCAACTATTGAACTGACCAAAATACTTGTAATCTTTAATCTTGCAACACAAGAATGTTCAGTTAATTAGAATCCCTCTAGTTTGAAAATTACCTGATTCTAAATTTTGCTTACCTAATACGCATTTTAAAAGCAGAATTATTAGCACAGCCAAAGGTGGCACTCCGATGTAATAACCAAGGAAAGAGTACTACATCTTTAAATAAATTATTAAAAGTTGAAAAAGACAGAGAGAACGCGCTTTCCTCTGTCCACATATGTGTTGCCCAGATATATAAATATCAAGCCCTAATCCCAATTATCAGACAAACAAAGACTCTACGCCTTCAACAAATCGCAACCATGCTTTGTTCTACTCGTTATACTCACCTCTTGTTAGCCTCCATTCTCACAGCTCTAACTTTTCATTACCCCAAATCAAATGCCCAGCTCACCTCTACTTTCTATTCCACCGCTTGCCCCAACGTCTCCTCCATTGTCACTAGTGCAGTTCGGCAGGCTCTCCAGTCTGATTCTCGTATAGGCGCTAGCCTCATTCGTCTCCATTTTCATGACTGCTTTGTCAATGTATGTGTATACCCCCGGCTGTTATTCAATTTACAGTACATATATGTGCTTCTTACTGATTAAAATCATCGTGCGTGTGCCATTTTCGTTAGGGATGTGACGGATCCATATTGTTGGACGTGGGTGGCAACATTACACAGAGCGAGAAAAATGCAGTGCCGAACAACAATTCAGCAAGGGGATTTGACGTCGTTGACAACATCAAGACGTCCCTCGAAACCTCATGCCCTGGTGTCGTTTCTTGTGCTGATATTCTTGCTCTTGCGGCCGAAGCTTCTGTGTCTTTGGTACAAATAGATTTACAGTAGTCTCCTTTTTATATGTTCTTTCTTGAAAATTAATCTACCTCCAAAGTCCAAAAGTAGAAAAGTGAATGTTACGATATTTGCAGTCAGGAGGTCCTACATGGACTGTTCTAGTTGGCAGGAGGGACGGCCTTGCAGCCAATCAAGCTGGTGCTAATACCTCTATCCCCAGTCCATTCGAAAGCCTCGCCAACATCACAAATAAGTTCTCTGCTGTCGGTTTGAACGCAAATGATGTGGTCGCACTGTCTGGTAATTCTTTTACTAGTCGATCTTATGATCTGTTCTCGGGCCTATTGTTCATGTCATCAACTTGTTGGTTCGTTTGACTAATTCTTTATAAACATGATGCGAATAGGTGCACATACTTTTGGTCGTGCCCAATGTCGATTCTTCATCAACCGACTGTACAACTTCAGTGGTACAGGCAGCCCCGATCCGACACTGAACACCACGTACCTGGCCACTCTGCAGCAAAATTGTCCACAGAATGGAAGCGGGACTACTCTGAACAACCTTGACCCGTCGACCCCGGACACGTTTGATAACAACTACTTCAAGAATCTTCTAACGAACCAGGGGCTTCTGCAATCGGATCAAGAGTTGTTTTCCACGAATGGGTCTTCTACAGTGTCCATTGTGAACAATTTTGCCGGCAATCAAACAGCTTTCTTTCAAGCGTTTGCTCAGTCAATGATAAACATGGGTAATATTAGCCCATTAACAGGAAGCCAGGGAGAAATCAGATCCAATTGCAGGAAAGTCAATGGAAGCTAAAAAGTGAGGACATGATTAGTTGCTTACCGTGCATGGCCTTGACCAATCTGGATGCGCGAAATGTTGCTGCCGACAACTTCAAATCATACCTAAACTAGTGTGGCTTTTTGTGGGAAACGTTAAGACTCCATATACCTACGCGTAATGGTTCACCGTTATAAATATGACTTTAGGCTGTTCTTCCCGCCTCGTGCCGTGATGTTGGGATTTAAATTTATTTTATTAATAAAAATTCATATAAAATTGTATGTGTTTTAATCATTGTCATGCATGGTTATTTGAGACGTTTTATTTTTCAAAAATTTTATAATAATAAATCACCCGTCAATGAGTCTCAGTTTAAAAGAAGAAAATGATTAAAATTAATTTTTGTCGCATAAATGATTCCAAGTTTAAAGATCGAAAAATTAATTGGAATAGAGGATTTTTTACCCACTAAGTGAATGATAAATTAAATCAAGATCTGTCCAATTAAATCTAATTGTTGGAATAAATTTAAGGAAATTGCAGTCTCGTGGGGGGACCGAAATCAACGAGAAACAACGACGATAGCAGCACTCCATATTCTAGCTTGTTTGCGCAGAGCATGACACGTGTCATCAAAGGAAAACATTATAAATTGGAGCTAACTATTTTTTCCCAAAAAAATTGTATTTAGAAAGCCGCACTTCTCATGTAAAAGGTGTAAAGTATCCGTCACTTAATTTTACCTTTAATAAAATAACTAATTATTTTTAAAACAATATTATTTTTTATATTTGTTCATATTTAATAGAATATTTTATTTTAAAATAAATATAAAATTATTTATTTATTATAAGCATTTTTAAATAAAATACATTAATAATACTTTGAAAATTAAAAAAATAAATTATATTTTTTAATGGAAAATTAGATATTTGCAATTCGCTTATTCAACAGTCTGGCAAAAGTGAGCCATTTAAGCAATGAAAATAAAAAAAAGGAAAGGTAAGTCAATTACAACGAAGCAATCTTAATTGACGTTTGTTGAAAGGGAGAAAGCGGGAAAAAGACGAAAAAATCAAGGATGCATGGCTTTAACTTGCCTCCGAATTTTTTTTTTTTTTAAGTTTCGCTGTAAATTGTTTTTAAAAACAATATATGTGGAGACCGTGTGGATGCTACATCATATATCTAACATTGCCGTCTCGACTTCCACCTGCCCGATGATTTTAAGACATGAGGAGAAACGTCAGGGCAAAAACCACGTTGAAGTGTCAACGATCCATTAGCTCACAGAGGAGTAACTTAAATTAATCGAAGTTTTTTTTTTTTTGTGGTTGAAAAGTTTGCTCGAAGCTTGATGTAACTTTTAGATAATGAGGTGGTAATTTGCTGCCAATAAAAAAAAAATACAAAAAGGCAATACTTGAATTAATTTAGAGTAAAAATTAAGTTAAATATTCATAGTTCAGATCTTCAATTGACTACCAGAAGCTTGACAAGTGTTTGTAGTTGAACAACAAATACCAGACATGCCAGAGACGCTATGTCTCAATAGATAACGAAAGGGTCCCGAGTTCCCTTACCACAGTTTACTCGAATGTAAAAAGATAGTAGGCTTTGGTAGAATAAGTGTGTAATTTTATTGAAGTGTTTGAAAATTACAGACTACAAACTAAGAACTGAAAAGGGCTAATAAATGTAAATTATGTGAGTCTTGATCTAGTGTTGACTAGGTTCTCTGTTCTTTCCTTCTTTCTATTTATAGTGTCTGATAGTAGAAGCCTTTTCTTTGAGACTTAGCACGTTCTACCGAAGAATCAGGAATCCCGTGAAACTCGTGGCATGGTCTCTCTATTTTGATCAATAGCCTATTTCACTGAATTACTTCGGCGTGGATTGCGGCATCACTTATGATCGTGTCTTTGTGCCAACGGTCTGATATTTGAAGTTGACGGGATTTCAGCATGTTTATGTGTTGTGGACTTTATTGAGCTTCGAGGCTAGCCTCTTTTATTTATATTGGGCTTGACATTTTGAATACTTAGCCCAACTAGCCTCGTGACCTATCTGAGCGAGTTTTCATATTTAGCCTAAACAATGTTCCCCGCGTGCCAATGGCTGGTAACATAAGCCACGTGGCATGTTTGAAAAAATCAAAACGTCGCTTCATTTCTAAGCGCCCTCTGTCGATATAAACTGGTTTCCAAATTATGGTCACTTCTCTTGCTTTCTTTACCATTTCTTGAATTTCAAGTCTTCAATGTACTAAAATTTCTCCTACCCTAACCTTCAAATGGCTTCGTCTGCTTCTTCTGCCAGTGCCCCTTCCTCTATTTCTACTGGTAGTTTGCTGAATTCTTTGGCAACTATCCATAACCCGGTGAACTAATTAGGCGGGCTCATAACGGTATATATTTTGTGGTCTGAAAAAACCCTTTTTTCCATTAGCTTGGTTTTCTATCCTAATTCTTGTTCATTTCTTTTTCAGGAAGGTTTATCATTCCACGAATCAGTGGCTTTCTGGTAAGTTTCTCGCTTCTCGTGTATAGCCTTTCTATTTTATTAAAAAGTACTCTAACTGTGCTTCCTTTTTGTCTAGCACTTTGCCTTGGAATTTCCAAATTTGCAACAAAAGTGATGTCAGATATCTAATGATTTCTCCTGACCTATCCAATGTCAATGCTCTTACGTAGTCGAACCCATGGCCACTGACCTCTCTTAGCAACCTGGTCTTAGCCCGGATGACCTCGCCCTTCCTCAAGTTGTCTTGTAGAAAGTTCAGGAACTGGCCCCGGTCCCCTCCTGCTTAGGTCAACTGGGTGAGGTGTTTGAAGTCAGATCATGCACCTCTGTGGAAGGAGATAGGTCTATATGACCTAATTCAACTGTCTCTGGCTGACGTTGATGTCCTCGTGGACCTTCTGATGGCCCTCCTCAGTCTCTGGGCTCCAGGCTACAATGCTTTCATCTTCAAGTTTAGCCCAATGTCTCTCACGCTATGGGACGTCTTCATGTTTCTAGGGTTGCCCATTATCGAGGAAGAGAACTTCTATGCCATCCCCGAGAAGCATGACTCCTACACCGCCCTTCCTACTGACTTAGAGAGCAAGATCAAGGCCGCAGGCTCCTATACAAAGATTATTGAGTTATTTTCTGATAAACTAGCCTCCAAGCCCATCACTGTCACAAAGTACCTGGTCTTCATCTAGATCCAACTTAACCAATAGATCCTGGCCCCGGGGGGAGGGAAGCCCATACAGCTGCATCTCAAGATCGCCCGATCCCTATTTTATGGCAATCAAATAGCCCTGGGGACTATGTTTTTATGCCGTTTCTATGATAGAATGAGGGAGTCGCTAATCAAGAAACCCTTCGGCAACTTCAGCGGGCTCGTTTGGGTTTTAAAGTTGTGGACGACCCCCTACTTCCCCAACCTTTGGTGGGAGCCCTTTCTAGATGATTCCTGCGCCAACCACCCCTTCACTTGTCTCCTAGGTGGTCATCCGTTGGTGGAGTCGAAGAACTTCTTCGAGTTCTTCTGTCAACAAAGCTGGTCCTTGGGGAAGACTTTAAAAGCTTTCAACATCCCCGACCGTCACCTTCCTACCTGGTACAAGTATATGGTAGAGAAGAAGAACAAGCCTGCTAACCCTCTCAGGGACGAGGTCTTCCTTTCAACCACCACTCCCCGGAAGATGTGGCCATCGTATACTGGCTCTTCCTCCAAGTCTCTCAAAATATACTTGAAGTCTTATCACCCTCAACTGGTGGCGGGCCAATTTAGATTGAGCCAGTGTATTCCTCAGGGCTTGTCCCCCTAAATCAGCGTAGAGCTACTAGACAGAAAGTTTATCGATCAAATAGTCATTCTACTTACCACTCAAAGGCAGTGCAAAGTGAAACTTGTAGATAGAGATACCTGCCTTCGCTTTAATAAATGGTGGCTCCAGTGCTTTAAGCACATAATAAAGAGCCACATCAGTAAGTATTTCCTTCACGTCTGCCTTAGTTTTATCCTTCTCATTTTGTTTCCTTAGACTAAACCTGCCTTGTTTTTTGTTGGCCATTATTGGACATAGTCCTATGCTTTGGTGACCTTTCTAAAGGGCAACATTGATACTCTTGCTACTTTTGGGACTCTGATAGCCCCTTTCGTGAGGACCATGGTCTAAGGGATGGAGCAAGACGACGCTTCCTCCCAACTTTCTGTTCCCCCAGTCTCTAAAAAGTCTAGGGCCAAGAAGAGTTCTTCCAGTGGTCCCAACCAAAGAGACCTTTCAAACAAAAGGAAGTAGGCTCCGTCTCCCTCTCCTAAGGTAAAAGGGAGAAAGAAGACAACGCCCCCACCGCTTGACTAACCTGCCTCCACCCCACTCCATATCAGCCCCACACCTCAAAAAGGAAGGCGCACACATAAGGGCCAATGGATGATGATCTTATCAGCAGACTCTGACAATAGTAAAGTGAGTTCGATTCAACAAGGGGAGAAGGAGACTCAGCATCCTGATCTCCAAATCCAAGCCGCTACCACTCTTGGGCCTACACCCATAGACCTAGTTGAAGTTACTCAAGAGGTGGCCCAGGAGGTAGCAGAATGTGGTGAAGGTAAAGGAGCTGTCTTGTCTACCGCAGCCCTAGGCGTTCCAAAAAATGTCATCAAGGGAGAGCTGCTGTTGTTGCCTTAAGTGATAAGCTGGAGCTTGGGGTCCAAGACCCTACTATCATTGTGAGCCCTCAGATGATCTCCCCACTTAGTCTAATCCTTCCCTCCTACTTAATAAATTTTCAAGAGGGTAGAAGCTCTGAAAGGTTGTAGGCGAAGGCCATGGGTAATGCTTCAACTACTCTGGTCTCTGCTCAAGGTGGCTCAGTATAGGGTCAAGTGGGTTCTTCCACTCTGATGGACCGCGTGGAGAAAGCTCTACGCTCGGTGGCATGGTCTGCACGCGATCTTCCCTTTTCCATCAGCAAAGACAAAGCTCTTGCGAACCCAATCTAGTTATAGTCTTGTTTACTTTTATTTCCATTCTTGCTAGCTTTATTTTTAGTCTTTTGCTAATGTTATTTTATTTTCTCCAATTGGTTGCACTTGAGGCAGTATCTACAGATGCTCTCTTCTCCTGCATTTGTGTCTCTGAGATGGACATTATATTGGATGCTTGGAGAGTTGTCCAGTTCCAACTCAGCCGTGATCCCTTCCTCATCCCTGAATAAAATTTTGAGGAAATGATTTGGGCTCTTGAGGCTGTGGTGAAGGCGATCTCCATGTCTGAGTTGGTGCTCCTGTAAGCTCA